AATTTAAAGTGTGATTGTCTGCCTCCCGGGACACATCCGAGTTGGTGGAACAATTGCATTGGTAGGCTCACAAACCTAGCGTGGAGGGTTCGATTCCTGGAAGGCAGCATCTTGGAAGGGGGATTTATCTCGAAGGCAAGGTGCTGGAAGGCAGTGGAGAGAGCTCTCTTTGGAGAAGGAGTATAAGTCATACAGGAACCTGGAAGCCAACAAGGGCACAACCCGCGATTAACTTCCTCAAGCTAATGAGGGGCCGGAGGCTTGAGATCCAGGAATTAGTCTGGTGAAGCTGTGATACCTGGGTATCAAAAAAAAAAGTGTGATTGCACTTTGGCCTGTTTGTGAAGGAAACATCAACTTAGTGACCCCAACACCAACTTTATGTTTTGTCACTCTCAAGTTCAACTACCTGCTGGGCTTATAAAATCTTGCGTCGTCTAGCAATATCACGAACCACCTTTTCTCGTTCCTCCTCTCCTTCTTCCTCTTCTTCTCCTCCTTCCATATTTCAAAACTTAGGGAAGATTTTGTGTGAAATGAAAGCCATGGACTGGTTTTCTTGGCTATCAAAAATTGGCCTTGATCCTGTTGAGACCGATTGACCAATAATTCAGGAATTGAAATTTAACGAATACAACTTGTTGTAATTGAAGTAGTTATCAAGATCATGAAAAACCACGGACAAGATTAAAGTAAAGAAATAAAAGAACTGTCAGAGGAACGATGTTATTTTATTCAATCAATGAAAGGAGAGAATTACAACAATAATGGTTTCTTAACAATACTGAAAGATGAGCCTTGTATTTAAAGTATAAAATCTAGTCCTAAAAAAGTCCCAAAAAAAGGTAAGAAATTTAATACAATTTAGACTCCTATTTGAGTCACACTTCTAACAATCTCCACCTTGACTCAAATTCCGGTGCAACGAACGAAACTCCAAAATTTCTCCACCTTGAGAAATAATCCGTCTGCATTAGAATGAACTGACCAATCTCCTCAACGCAATAACCAAACTCTCCACGATAACAGGTTCCCCCGTCCGGCGTCCACAAGCGACACCTGAACCCAAAACCGGGTTCCTAAAATTCCTCCTGGAATTAACAATCACTCGACAGGGTCGAAGCACACCCTGTAGCAGAAACCACACCAAATGCACAATCAGAAGGTCCCTTGCCAATATTGTCACCTTCAATGATTTCTAAAGCATTTCAGACATCTCCAAAACTGTACCTACGCTCCATGAGTCCATTGACATTACAAGAACACAGTGTACCCGCTAAAATTGGTGGCAAAGCGGAATCACCAACACTCCCTTGAGCAAAGTTCTTAATTGACCTAGAGCCAAACCCGAGAGGTACTGTACCAAATTGAATGTCCACCACGGTACTAAACTTGTCCAAATGTCTCTGAATTGGTTCTGAGCTCCCCTACAAGATGTACAATTGGGATTTCCTCCGTCCCTCCAATACAACCCGGACACCCCTTCGAACCTTCAATACTCCACCTCCACCAGAAAATTTGTACCCTTTTTCATCCAAAGTACTCAGTGATATGAGATTCTTTGTCAAGTTTGGAATATGGCGAACCTGATCAAGTGTCCTCACTGTTCCATCTTGTAGCCTCAATCTAACCCGACTGATTCCTGCAACTCGGCAAGATTGGTTGTTTCCCATGACAACTCCACATTGCTTCACCGTCTCATATGTTTGAAACAAATCCCTATTGTGACACATATGATACGAATAAGCAGAATCAAGAATCCACTCCTCAGGTTTGGATTCCCCATTAGATACAGCCAACATCACATATCCATCATCACAAAAATTTTCAGCAATATTAGTCTCGTTCGAATTACTTGATTGCCCCGCATGATTTGCATGTAAATCACCTTTACCCTGCAACTTGTCACAATCTTTCTTGATGTGTCATTTCCTCTTGCAGTAATAACAATACACATTGCTATACTTCACCTTCGATCTACCCCTCCGTCAATTACCATGAGTAATAAGAGCATCCCCACTCCTAGATACAGGATCTCCAACCAACAACTCCATCTTCTTCTTTGAGAACAAGGCATCGTATACCTCCTCAACGGATAACGTGTCACGACTATATAGAATAGTGTCACGAAATGACGAAAAAGAATTGGGTAGCGAACACAACAGGACTAAGGCTAGATCCTCTTCATCATATTTACCTCCAACGTCTCCAAATCTGTAACGATCTCCTTGAACATAGCAAGGTGGTCCTGCAGTGACCCTCCTTCCGCCATGCGATGAGAATACAACCTCTGCTTTAGAGTCAGTTTGCTCGTCAAACTCTTTGTCATGCACAACTGCTCCAACTTGAGCCACAAAGCAGCCGCTGTTTTCTCCTTCAAAACATCTTGCAGCAAATAGTTGGATAAATGAAGTTGGATTTGCGCTAAAGCCTTCCGATCCTTTCGTTGTTTCTCCTCCATAGACAAGCTTGCTGGCATCCTATCAAAACCCAGCAAAGCATCATCAAGATCCATCTGCGTCAACACAACTCTCACATTTACTTGCCACAGCGAAAATCTTGTATTGCGATCCAATAGCAGAATTTCATACTTCAACGAATTCATCTCTAAAAAAATCCCAATCAAATCACGAAGAACTTACAACTTGCAACACCCAAAATTGAAAACTACCGAACGTGCAAGGGGCAAAATAGTCCAGAACCACAATTTTTCCCAAAACTGAAATTGGACACCACCACAAGGTCCGTCTCGTCGTCTGGAGAAAGCTGCCTGAAGACACCGTCGTCGGAAAACGCCTCACGCGCCGCCACTCGCTCGCCGGAGTTCCACCGCCGACGACTGGTCGGAAAACATGCCGACGACCTGTGACCCTTTCTAGACCGTTTTTGCCTGCTGAGTCCACTGATGGTGTTCGTTTCTCCAAATTCTTTCTGGTTTGACCAGAAAAAGCAAAAACAGATTCGGCAACAAATCAAAAAGTTGGACAGATTCATTTTCTGATTTTCTGGTAATTTTCAGACCATTTTACGATCAGTTTCAGGCCAAAATTCCACCAATAACCCCACTCTAATACCACTTGTTGAGACCGATTCACCAATAATACAGGAATTGAGATTTAATGAATACAACTTGTTGTAATTGAAATAATTAACAAGATCACGAAAAACCATGGACAAGATTAAAGTAAAGAAATAAAAGAACTGGCAGAGGAACGATGTTATTTTATTCAGTCAATGAAAGGAAAGAATTACAACAATAATGGCTTCTTAACAATACTGAAAAAGGAGCCTTGTATTTATAGTATAAAATCTAGCCTTAAAAGAGTCCCCAAAAAAGGTAAGAAATCTAATGCAATTTAGACTCCTATTTGAGTCACACTTCTAACAGATCCTTCTTTCCTCAGTACGCCATAAGTTTTGTTCAAAATGAACTTCAACAAGATGATATAGCTTATTTTAGTCATGGCTTGCTACAGAGCATGAGAAGTACTGTGGCAAAACATCGGCTCAAGATTCTCAAGCTTGCTATGAAAGAAAAGAGCTGGAGAATACACCCAATGTTATGGTTCATTTTCACCATCAAGCATAACAAGGCATTTCTTGCTAAGCATGTTCCGTGTTTGGTTCATAATGAAAATTCGGCTCTTGTACCGAAAAGGAATTACAGTTTGAGATGGAAGGTATCTATGCTGCAGAGGAACAAAAGTTGAGAACAACGATGCAAAAAAATAAGCAAATGATGCTAACAAATGTAGATTCTGTTGCAGAGTCTGGCCAAAAGATTTTGATGCTCACAAATGGGAGCCCCTCGGTGGACTCTCAAAGCTCCGACTTAGACAGAAACTCGCATATCACAAAAAAGACGTGGGGTCATGAAAAAATGGACAGCGATGATGGTCGGGATTGGTTGAGTAGTGTCGAAGAAATCACGTGGAATACAATGTTTCAAAATTTGGAACCGACATAATTTCCCTTGTAATAGTAATAGAAATAAAATTTTTTGGCCATGTTCTTTAACCAGAATTTCAGCTATGGGATTTGTATTTAGTCCTCACTGGTGCAGTATACAATTTTATTTCTCATGTGTGTCCAATATATGTTCAATTTTTTCCCTTTCCAACCCATAAATACAAGAATACAAGAGAAATGTTCATCAAAATAATAAGAACAAAGAGAGCCAAATCAAGAGGATAGAATCTGAATACTAAAAT